GGGTTGGGGAGGGGTCGGAAGGGGCGGCGTTGTACACAGGCGGGAAAGGACTTAAGGTATAAATATTAAAGAGGGGGGGGGGGGGGAGGAGCCCCGCACCAGGTCCTTGTTGATCATGACGCCCTTGAGCACGCGCGAGTCCTCGAGGTTGCCGCCCGGGATCTTCTCGACCTTTGCGTACCTGCGGGTGCGCTCCACGGCGGGTCATGGCCCACGCAGCGCCGGGTGGAGCCGGGGCTAGGGCGAGGGCAGGGGCGAGGGCTGGGGCGAGGGCTGGGGCGAGGGCTGGGGCGAGGGCAAGGGCGAGGGCTGGGGCTAGGGCCGGAGTAGTCGGGGTCAAGGCTGGCGCGCCTCTTTATGTCGAGCTCCTTGCGCCCTCCGTCGTCGAGGAAGACCGTCTTGACGGCGTCGAGCGAGAGCTGGATCAGCATGTCCGAGAACTGGGAGATGAACTTGGTGCCCGTGCACGCCTGGCGGGGGCGGGGCGGCGGCGGAGACGGTGGCGGCGGAGAGAGGGTGGCGGCGGAGAGGGTGGTGGTGGTGGGGAGCGCGGGGCTCGGAGTCGGCGGTGGTGGTGGCGGCGGTGGTGGCGGCGGCGGTGGCGGCGGCGGCGGTGGCGGCGGCAGCGGTGGCGGCGGTGGTGGGTGAGAAGGGAGCGGTGGAGCGGGCGGTGGCGGCGCCTGCACGATCCGCATCAGCTCCGCCGTGCAGGAGTGGAGAGCGTGTGGGGTTTGTGGTGGAGGTGTGTGGGAGGAAGGTGCGTCGCAGGCGCCTGCACGAGCCGCGTCAGCTCCTCCGTGTCTGCCATGTCGACGGGGCGCGAAACCTTGTCGAGGGTGGCGACCGCGTCGTCGAGCGCCTTGAGGTACCCGTTGCAGATCGTCGTCGGGTGCAGCTGCCGCTCGAGCAGAGGCGCGGCGAGGTTGAGGTACTCGCCAGCCAGCACGATGACGGACGTCGTGCCGTCGCCAACCTCCTCGTCCTGCGCCCGCGAGAGCTCGATCATGGACTTGGCCGCGGGGTGCGAGACGTCCACCTCGCGCAAGATGGAGTTGCCGTCGTTGGTCATCACGATCCCGCCCATTGGGTCGAGGAGCATCTGCACGAGAGCACGGGTGCAGACGTCTGCCGGGTGAGCGCGGGGCCGGCACGGCCGCCGCCGCGAGCCGGGGCGGGGGCGGCGCATACCTTGAGCATCGAGCGCGGGCCTAGCGTCGTCCGGATGATCTCGGAGACCGCCTTCCCCGCCGCAATGTTGGACATCTGCGCCTTGCGGCCCGTCTCACGCTGCACCTGCTGGTTCATCACCATGATGGGCGTCCCTCCCATGCGAGACGACATGATGACCTGCGGGAAACAGGCGGCGGCGGCCGGTCAAGCGCCCCGTTCTCCGGGCCCGGACGGTCGCCGGCATGCGCGGCATGCTCGCCTGCCTCTCAACGGGCTTGGCGCGAGACAGGAGAGCGTTGCGCAGAGCGAACAAGAAAACGACCCAACGCGGGGCGGAATGGGCAACGAGGTGGGCGAAGACGGCTGAGGCGCCAGGGCTGGAACTGAGGGAGAGGATCTTGTTGTAAAATGAACTCGGGGGCACGGGACGCGGCACAAACGGGGCACAAACGCCAAGAACAAGAGATCTCTCTCTCTCTCAAACGCCAGGCTACAAACACGGGCAGGCACGTATAGTCTTCGCGTCGGGGTAATTTAATTCTTTCCTTTTTGGCCCTCGCTCTGTTCTAACAGGCCATCTATGTATGTATGTAGAAAGATGAAGCAGGCAGTCTGGCCATTCTCAATAGGAAAAGAAAAACGGGCGCGCTCTTTCAGACGCTCTCACAACAAAAGCACGGCAGGAGGCAGGCGCGCACGCTCGCCAATTGTCAACGTGGCCGCGACTTGCCAGGCGCCGCAAAACTTTCGAACTGCGCCGCCGCCCGCGCCGCCGCCGCCGCACGCCCCTCCTCGCCCCTCGGCAGGCATGCGTTCCATGCGGGACGACAAGAGGACCTGGAGCGCCACAGAGCTGATCCGGCTCCTGGGGACGGGATCGTACGGATCCGTCTACCAGGGCGTGTGCGAGGGCGAGAAGGTGGCGGTCAAGGTGCTGCAGCTGGTAGCAGGCTCCGAGGCCGACATCAACAACGAGCTGCGCCAGCTGCGCGGCTGCGACCACGAGAACATCATCGCGTACAGAGACGCCTTTGTCGGAAAGACGCAGCAGGTGATCGCGCAGCCGGCGACGCGCCTCGCGCCCGCCCCAAAGGCGCTTTGGGTGGTGATGGAGTACTGCGAGGCGGGAAGCTGCCTCGACGTCATGCGCGAGCGCGGCCGCGGCTTTGACGAGCCGTGCGTCGCGCACATCAGCTGCTGCGTGCTGCGCGGGCTGGATTACCTGCACACGCAGCGCAAGGTGATCCACCGCGACATCAAGGCGGCGAACGTGCTGCTCAACGCGCGCGGGGAGGTCAAGCTCGCCGACCTCGGCATTGTCGCGCAGCTGCAAAACACCATGTCGAAGAGGGGGACGATGATTGGCACTCCGCACTGGATGGCGCCAAGAAGCGTAGATGATCCGGAGTACAGCTCCGCCCGGTGGTGGGCAGCCGTGCGGCTGGGAGACGCCGTATCGCAGCCGCCGCAGCACGGCCGCTGCGCACACGCGAGCTCTCGAAGGGATCGCCCCGCCGAGCCTGTGCGGTGTGATGCGGCGCTCAGCGCGCCGCTGCGCCCCTCCCTCCACCGCGTCGCAGGCGCCCGAGGCGCTCAGTCACGCGGCGGGCATTTGCGAGGGGGGCTACGGCACCGCGGTCGACGTGTGGTCGCTCGGCATCACCGTCATCGAGCTCAGCGAGCGCGACCCGCCCTTCTTCGACGCCTCCTCGGTCTATGGAGCCATGCTGCGCATCGTGCAGGGCCCGCCCGCAAAGTGCCGCGCCCTAGAAGCCCAAGTAGAAGACGCAGTTGCCTAGACGCGGAAGATGTCCCCCACCTCTCCCCAGCTCTTCCCGTCTCTCGGCATCTGTCGACGGACGGGCGGACGACCGGGGGGGGTGGGGGTGTGGGGGGGGACTGCTCGCACAGTTGTGGGGGGGGGGGGGGGGGGAACCAACCCCCGTGCGGGCCCCATGGGTCTCTTCTCCTGGGAGGCGATGTGGAGCGGTCGGATTGCTCTAGTTCGGCTGCTGGTGTCTTTGTACTTTGCAGTGCGTCGTGTCTTGTGGGATGCAGTT